CCCTCAGCACCTCAGTGTGATCTGGAAGTTGTAAACTGAAATAAATCCTTTCCTCCCCAGGTTGTTTATGGTCATGATGCCTTATCACAGCACTAAAAATCCTAATAAAACAGATGGCTACTTCTCATTATTCCCTGGGGAGCCTTGAAACCAGGCTCCTTAGCCAAAAAATAAATAAAAATAAATTTAAAAACTCCTTTGCTTGAGGTTGGGGGGATGCAGTGCTCCCCAGGAACAGCTAGGGCAGCCTAGTCTGTCCCCAGAAAAGGGCCAAGCTAGACAGTAGGTTTTCCACAGCTTCCCATGCATGGCTCTGCTCCGTTGTCTAACCGGCTCCTCTTTCTACCCATGAGATTCCTGCCTGCAGGGCCCTGGTCCCTGGTCTATCATAGTTTTTCAAATGTCTCTAATAGTACCAGCCCTCAAAACAAAAGATTTGCCATCTGATTTTTGGAGGGAGGGCTCCGTGAGGCAACAGAAGCCAATCACCCCTAAGTTTACAAGAGTTTGACTGGAAAAACAAATGTCAGTTTGGACAAAGAAACGCTATGCTAGCTAGTTTCTGTCAGCTGTCAGGCTAGAGTCATCTGAGAAGAGGGAGCCTGGATTGAGAAAATGTTTCCATTATATTGGCCGATAGGCAAGTCTGTGGGGTATGGTTAATGACTGATGTGGCAGGACCCAGCCTATTGTGGGCAGTGACAACTCTGGGCAAGTGGTCCTGGGTTATATGGAAAACTGAACTGAGCAAGCCACAGGAGCAAGCTGCAGGAGCAAGCCGAAGGAGCAAGCCGCAGGAGCAAGCCACAGAAGCAAGCCCTAAGCAATGCTTCTTCATGGCCTCTGCATTTCTGCCTTGACTTCCTCATTGATGATCTGTTAAGCTGTAAAGATTAAATAAACCCTTTCCTCCTAAGTTGTCTTTGGTCTTGGTGTTTATCATAGCAATGGAAAGCAGACTAGGCCAGGTATGATAGCACACACCCAACACTCGAGGCAGAGGCAGGAGAGTCTCTGAGTCTGGGGCCAGCTTGGTCTACATTAGTTCCAGGACAGCCAGGGCTACACAGAAAGACTTGTCTCGAAAGAAAGAAAGAAAGAAAGAAAGAAAGAAAGAAAGGGGAAAGGAAGGAAGAGAAAGGAAAGAAAAGGAAGGAGGGAGAGGAGGAGAGAAGAGAAAAGAAGAGGAAAGAAGAAGAGAAAAAGAAGAAAGCAAACTAGATAAAAGCCCTTATTCCTAGGGACCATGAGACAATATAGGGTCCCTGGCAAATGTAGTCAATATTTGCCAGAACACGATCAGCTACACTAGCGACACTATCCTCTTCAAGCCTTAATTCCTTGAGTCATATGAAAAGGAGTAAGGCTGGTAAAGCGGGTGATGGCTGAGTAGACACAGCAATAGAAAGGAGGACGGCAGAACGGGGTGGTCAGGGGGGTCCGGACAGGGTACCAGGAAATGCTCAGTTCTCATGGATCTTGCCCAGGAGATGCTCGGCTGAGGGGTGCGCATATCTCATGGGTCTTGCCCAGGAATAAACATGTCACCCAAATGTTTCTGAGACAGCTGAGCTGGACAGTTTAGGGTTAGGATAAAAAGCTCTCCTGGGGTGGGAGGCAAACAAAGACTCTTGGCTTAGGAGTGGCGGTATGACACTTGCCCTGGTTTAGATCTCTGTTTAGTTGTATGAGGTTAGAGCCTTTGTTCTCTGAAGACTAGTTTCTTACTCTTTCTAGTCCCCAAAGAAAATGAGGGGGGAAGGCAGACGGGGAAGTCATCTCTATTAACCGACCAGAGGGTCCTGTCACTTTGTGAGGTTGCTTGGGGCACCAGATAATCACAGCCATCCCTGAATCCTGTTGCAATTTTCAGTCAGGTATATCAAACTTAAAGTCTTCAAATCTAAGTAAGGGATGGGGTGGGGGTGTGATCTTTGAATCCCTGACAAGCCTCCACAACTGTTACAAGGGGCCTGGGGTGAGGGGTTGACCATCTAGGGGTTCTGATGAGTTCATCCTTTGAGATAAAGAGTTAGCAAAAGCCACAGACTGGAACTTGATAGTGGCCACCGCCTGAGTATCTAGCAGTCAGGAGGAGCCAAGATATACCACAAAGCCACACCATGCCACAAACCTCACACAGAGATTTACTGGGGAGAAGCACGGTAGGATGGCTACCTCTGAGCAGGAACAGAGGCAACAGGGGGCTGGAGGGGTGGGGCTTTATAGGGGGTTTGGAGTGTGAAAGGGACAGGCCAGGGGCGGGATGATTTTCTGCTGGCCTGTTACCCTAAATTGAGGAAGAGAGTGGCACCAGGAGGGACTAGCAGGGCTGCAGATGAGGAGCCTAGGAAAGCGGCAGCCATGGAGAAGGGAGAAGTACCAGAGCTGGGAGTCCACCAGGCGAGGCTACAGAATGCCAAGTCCCCCTCCCCTTCCTGATGTCCTCCCTGCATCCCACACCTTTCCTGACTCTCTCTCTCCTTCTTCCTCATTGGTCCCTCCCAGGCTCGTTTCTTTCCATCAGGGGCTTTTTTTCTTCCAAATGGCAAAGTCCTTGTGGGGGAAAAATGAACAGTTGGAGCAGGAAATCGTCATTCCTGGAAGGGACCAAGTCCCTGCTGTCCCCTGATCCTCCTTTAACCTGACAGATGAGGCTGGTGGAGGGTGACTCCGGAAACAGGAAACACCTAACACTGCAATGCAATGGCCTCCGCACAGCTATCATCTGACCCTCCAGCGTGTGCCTCAAGATACCGACAGGTAGAGAACTCTGGACTGTCCCCAGGGCTTCAGCTCAACTTACTGTCTGTCCATCCAGGCCTGGTCCTATACCTGTTCCTCATTTCTATGGCCCTGAACCTCTGCAGCTCTGCAGGGCCTGCTCTTGCCCCTTGGCTCTGAGCTCTCAGTAGCTCCACCTGGGTCCCTAACATCTTTCCTAACCCACGAGAGACACTGTGAAGAACCAGCCTGTCTCCATCTTAGGCTTAAAGGCCACCTTATAGTAAAGACAAGCTAGATTCAATTCTGTTTATGATTAAACCTTTGTTTCTCAAGGGTTGGGCTATGCCCCACCTGTAACCTTAACTATGAATGTTTCTAAACTGCCTGTTCCTGGAAAGGAAATCATGTCTTTGTTTCAGAAAGCTAATAACTATCCTGCAACCCTTCTTTTGTTTTAAAAGGGTTGTTCCAGTTACCTTTTTATGACCACCTGTTGCTACAATCACCTTGCCATTAGGTCTCTGCCTCAGGAGTTTATTATGACTAGCTTGTTATATTTATGCTCTGCTCCTGTAATCCTACCTAGTTTGCCTGCCAGATCTCCCATTTGGAAACTTCCTTACTCTTGAACTATAAAAATCTTGTCTTCCACATCCAAGGCTGACCTCTCAAACCAGCTCCTTTAGGGGGAGGCAGTACATGAATAAACACGCTTGCTTTAATTAATTGTTTGCTTTAACTCATTTGGCCATGATGATTATTTGGGTTGGTGGTCTTTCTCCTTCCATCTTTGAGACTTACAACTGCCCCTCCATCAGCTGTCTTCCTCTGCTTCCAGTAAGGCCTCTCTAAACTCCTTAAGTCTTGCTGCTGGCTTTTAAAAGCTTTGCTGGCATTTGTTGTCAAGAATGTGTGTGTGTGTGTGTGTGTGTGTGTGTGTGTGTGTGTGTGTATGTGTGTGTGTGTGTTTCACTGTGTGATGTGTTACCTGAGAGTTAATATTAATAATCAATGGGAATAAATAACATATTTGCCTCCACCAGCCATCAAAGGAAATCAGGACCACTTGGCAAATTGCAGCCAGCAAAACAAACAGAAGCTGCAAATTAGTGTTAGTCAATACATTCTGCTTTGTGGACTGATATAAATGCGTCTGTGTATGTTTCTGTGAGTACAGGTTTCTGACAGAGACTGTGGGGCACTCATTCTGCCTGGAGCTCCTTAGTACACATGACCTCCAGGGAGCCTAGGAGAGCAGCAGCCTGGGCTCCATCTCCTGAGGTCCACCTTTGTTAGTCCCAACCCTTGTATTGGGCAGGAAAACCAGTCTTCATAGCACCTGCCTCTACCTCCTGTTTCCTGTTGGCCTCCGGTGGAGGATGTGGGCGCTGCCCTGGTCAGCACCGTGGACAGAGGCTGCACTGTGAGTCACCACCATGACTAGCGTTTTCTGTTAGCCGTGTGTGTGTGTGTGTGTGTGTGTGTGTGTGTGTGTGTGTGTGTGTGTGTATGTGTGTGTGGTGGGGGGGAGGTATGAGATGGGTGAAGTTCACTTTACTTGTGTATTTTATCTTACCTAGTATGTGCAAAATATCTTACCATGTATCCATGTATGAAGCATTTAATACATTGACCAGATGAGTCCTGTGGCCAGTGAGAGCTGAAAAGAGTGTCTGTCTGGGATGCCTGCTGGTTCTCTTGACTTAACTGCCCTGGGGCTCTGTCTGAGGGGGAGATTGGGCTTGGCCCTGGGAACCTGGCTTGGCCCTGAGAACCTGGTCTGGTGAGACTCAGGACCCCAAATAGAAGGAACCTTCCTCCACCCTGTATCTCCTAGAGCCTTTCACTGGCTAAGCTGGGGGAGGGGAGGAGGCTCTCCTTCCGCCCACGCAGCTCTTTGGGACTCCAGGCACGGAGCTCCCCAGCTCCCTGTGGGTGGAAGCAGTGACAGGCGTAGGCTGCGGCTAGCGGGAGAATCGCTCCTGGCTATACACAGAGCCATACCACTGCCACCTACAGAGCTGGTGATGCTGGCTGTCCAGGTCCCTTACACTCATCTATAGGTGGCCACAGACTGTAGAGGGGGAGAGAAGAGGGGACAAGAGCAAACACATTGTGAAATGGGGAACACAAGTCAGGAGGAAGGGAACATCATTTTGCAGATTCACAGGAGCCACCCTCGTGTCCCCAAGCAAGGTCGTGTACACCGCCTGCAGCTCTGCTGGTCCATTGCTGAGGAAGCCAAGGATGGTAGAGTAAAGAGGAGGGGATCGGAAGAGTTCAAGGAAGGTCTAAGGGCGGACAGTGTGAAGGAAGCAGAGGTTTTTGTGACCAGGACCCATGATAGTAAGGATGGACCGAGAAGAAAGGTGAGGGGTTGTATCCTGGTTGGGGCATTGCATGTATGACAAGAGATGGTTTCTAGCCCCCTCCTTCCCCTCCACCCCCACAACATGATTCTAATCTCCCAGGCACCTTTCTTCAACCCACAGCCCCCAATCTATGTATAAATGCCCACACAGGCACACGCCTGCTGGGTCTGAGACCTATCCATCAGGGATGCTGTGGTTACCCTAGCTTGGTTCCCATAGCAATGTCTAGAGGGTGGGGGAGGGGCAGAGGTGGAAACACGAAGGAGAAGGTAAATAAAGAGCAACAGCTTCAAAACTGAGCAGCTGGGAGCAGCCAAGAGATCAGCTCCCTTCGCTAAGGCTGGAGTCCAGTGAGCAGCTCTGTCCTTGCTGTTTCCAGCGTATGGCAGGCTCATATGCTTCTCTTGAAGACCCAGGCTCAGGTCCAGGGCACATGACCAGTCTCTGACATCCTAGCTTGCCCTCGGGCTCACTCTGAATGGTGGTGGCCTTGCTGTTCAGTGTGTGAAGATCAGTCACAACCAGCACTTGCTAACACCTCCCTATGGCAGTTCCCAGAGCGCTGTCCTTATGCCTGATGCCACCTGTATGTCAGCCCAGCGGCAGCTACAGGAACTGACACCATCATGGCTTTATTGACAGGTAAGGGGACACGGAGAGGCACTGTGGCGACAGTGAGGAGGGGGAAGGGCCTGCTTTATTCTACTGAGGCTGAGGCAGAAATAATCCTTGTCTCACAGTTCTATGGGCCATAGCTTATGCATGGGGTGTCACAGCTGTTCCTCAGAATGTGCTGCAGAGAGCCTTGGACAGGCTCTGTGGTTACCACATCTCAGGGCTCTTGACATATCCCTGGTCTCTGATGCCAGCCACAGCAAGGAGTACTTGCTGAATCGTTCTGCCATTGTTCTGCCGTCCTCTCAGCTCTCCCTCTCTCTTCCTCTGGTACTCCCTGACATCTCGTGATGACACTAGACCCATCTTCATCTCAAGCCCCACCACAAGGCTGCTGTCTTCTGATCCATGCTGGGTAATCTCACATGAAGGGCCCAGTCTGCCCACCATAAGGTGAAAGTGGAGAAAGAGCAGGGTCACAGTGGCAAGGTCATGTATAGCAGGCAACCGTGGCCACAGGTTTGATGGGTTGATCTGGTCCTCAGTAGGGAGGTAGGTTAAGGTCAGCACCTCGCTGCCTCGTGGCTGTGACAATGAGGGCTTGCCTGGGGCACAGCAAGGCCTCCTGAAGGAAGGAGATACTCCAATTCTTGCAGTGGACAGAGGGTTGGAGAGCAGGCTGGGGAGAGGTCGGCAGAGCAAGGCATTTCTGAAAAAAGCTTCTGGGGTCCCGACCCAAGACTTCAGGTACCAAAGGACGAACCATTCCAGCTGCCACCCAGAGGAGAGCAAGCAGCAATAGGTACCAGAGAAGGAGGGGATGTCTATGGCCCAACAACCTCACCAGGCAGACTTGAGGGGTGATCTCATGGCCCAGAGCAGGAACTAGAGCCATGGGTGGGACCTGGCCTCAGGAGAATTGCTTCCCTTTTCTGGCTGAGATGCTGACTTCACCCCAAGCCCTCTTCCTGCACAATCCCCAGTCCACACCCCGTCTGCTTTTACAGGGAAGCCCTATGCAGCAAGGGGTTCACCTGAGGGGTCTGGAGAGAGTAGATGCCCGTGAGAGTGTGTTCCAGATTCTGGGTGTAGTGGGAGCCACAGACTCCTTACCATGAGTGTGACTCCAAGACATGCCAAGGTCTGCGTAAACCACCAGCTTCTTATTTCATCCCAGAGTCAGCGTTTGGCTCCCAGAGGCCAAGTCTATTTCTTTTTTTTTTTTTTTTCGTTTTTTTTTTTTTTTTTTTTTCGAGACAGGGTTTCTCCATAGCTTTTTTGGTTCCTGTCCTGGAACTAGCTCTTGTAGACCAGGCTGGCCTCGAACTCACAGAGATCCGCCTGCCTCTGCCTCCCGAGTGCTGGGATTAAAGGCATGCGCCACCACCGCCCGGCGGCCAAGTCTATTTCCAGGGCTCGGGAGAGAAAATGGAACCACCTTCCAAAGCCTCCAACCTCCCTTGCCAGGAAGTGTCAGGGCCTCTTGAGAGGTTCTGCTGGCCTATGTCAAGTGCAGACATTGTGGAGTGGACAGAACAGAGCCTCTGGGAGGAGGGAGAAGATAAAAATGGAAGAGGCTTTTGACCACTGTCACTGTCCCTGACTTTGGCTCACAAGGGCACCATCCCTTCGTCCCCAGTCGCCCTGAGCATTAAGAGACAACTGGCATCTTCCAGAGGGACTGGACCAGGTGCCAGGGCCAAGCAGACGAGATAATTATGGGGGCTAACAGAGTCTAAAAATAGCCTCCTTCACAGCCGTGCTCCTGGCAGGGAAGATGCCAGACTGTCAACGGCCTCAGCCTGGGCTCTGAGTTCTGGAGGAAGGGTCACCTGTACACAGGACCCAGTCCACTGGGAGCTGTTGGCCAGGGAGGGGGCCCATCTTGAGGCTGGTGCACAGGGGAATTTGTCCTCATGGAACAGCAGACAAGGGCCAAGATAGAGGGGGTACCCATGGCACAGCCCAGAGACCTGGTGAGGCAGCATATGCCCATGGAGAGGAGTAAGGGCATGGCTCCCGAAGGTGTGCAGGAGTCTCCATACAGAGATCTCCCAAAATCCCTGCCTGGCCCTGACTCCATGCTGAAGAAGTTTCTGAGTCATCCTAGCAGGGACATACACCTTTGAGGAAGAGGGCCACGTCCTCTTCAGGTGGCTGCTATCCTTGGGTGATAGTTGCCAGGCAGGACTTTGTCTCTCTTGGTATTCTCTCAGCCCACCAGTGTCCTATCACATTTTGCATAGGGCTAGGCTCCAATGTGGGCTTGGAGAGAGACACAGAACCAGCTTCACCTGCCACTTGCCCTGCCTTCCCAGGGCTGTGCCTCTGAAAAGGGAATAGGTCAGAGAAAGAGCACGCCGTTGGTGAGACACTGGGTGGACAGAGATACTTCAAAATATTGAAGTCCAGCAATCAAAAGCCCCCTTTGGCTCACCTAATTAACATGCCTAATTAAAATTAAGCACCTCATCCTAACACAGGGTTTCCCCCTTTATAAATGTCATTGACCTATTCACCATGCCTGTCTCCTCTCTATCCAGAGTCATCCCCAAACCTCTGAGATAAATACACCTTCCCCCTTTTACATGTTCCCTTTCCCTTCTCCCTTGCCCTCTGAATCCTGTCTTTGTCTCTTATTCCCCGCTCTTTGTCCCTCTGGGGCAAGTAGATCTCCTTTGTGCTGAGAACTTGGTCTTGGGATTCCTGAGCCGATGCCATTCCTTACAGGGATGACATTTACTCAACCTGTGTGAGGGCAGAGAGCCTGGGAGGATGGGGAGGGCTAGGGAAAGAATGTGAGAGGTAGAAAAAACAGGAGAGAAATAGGGGGTGACAGAGCCAGGGAAAGAAACACAAAGAGAAGGAGAATGGCAGGAGTAGAGGCCGAGACAAGCAAGACAGAGCAAGAGAAAGAGAGAGTCAGAGAGAGACAAAGACAGCAATGGGAGACAGATAAGGAATCAGAAATGGAGACAGATGCGGGAAGAGAGAGATGGGAGGCAAAAGATGGAGGTGCACAGAGAGACAGGAGAGAGAGGAGGAATAGAGGGGACACTGGAGATGTGTGACAGTGAGAACCAGACTGGTCCCCGATCCTCTATCCAGGTCTCTCTGCTGGCTGGACCCTGGGGTAGGATGAGGAAAGACAGACACAAGGTTTCTGTGGTTCAGCTGATGACTCCTGTTTGCCTTGGGACTCACAGGCAGATTAACTGACATTCATGCTGAGAGGTCTTTTCTGCCTAGAGGACAGTGTTGTGTCTGAGTGTCCCGTAGAGCTCTGCATCTGGTGCGATTCAGCACTGTTGAATGAGTTTCTGTCCTGCCCGGTTCTCACAGTTAAGTCCCAAAGAAATCACACAAAGGTCTACATTAACTATAAACGGATTGGCCCATTAGATCAAGCTTCTTATTAGCTCTTATAACTTATATTAGCCCATTATTCTTGTCTATGTTAGCCACATGTCTCGGTACCTTATTCAGCGAGGCAGTTACATCTTGCTTGCTCTGTAGCCAGGTCAGGACTGCTGACAAAGCTTTCCTCTTTCCAGAATTCTCCTGTTCTCATTTCCCACCTCTACTTCCTGTCTGGTTGTCCCACCTATACTACCTGCCTGGCTACTGACCAATCAGCGTTTTATTTAAAATATAATGGACAGAATACAGACCGTTGTCCCACAGCACAGCACAGACGGGAGTGTGGGCACGGAGGAGTGCCGGAGAAGTGCCTGGTAAGAGGTCAGGGTGACTGCCAGGTCTTGGTCTTGAGGTCCTTTATAACCCAAGGTGAAGGGTTTCATCCTCTGTGGTTGCCAAGCTCATGTACTGTGTTTCAGATAAGATTCTGTGTCACCTGCACAGGTATAATTCTTTTGGGGGCATAAATAGTCGATCAGTTTGTATTTCCTAACATGCTAGCAGATGGAGGCCATTTACTGTTCAGCAAGATGTGGTACCAGCCCTGAAAATGGAGGAACTCAAGTCTAAAGCTCGCTTCATGAAGACAGTATTCTGAGCAAGGAACAGTGTGAAGCCACTGTTCTTAACCGAATGATTAACCCAAGCAGGCGACAGAGACGGAAATACTAGATCTGTGACTATGGATTATCAGGCAGAGTGGGGAGGCCTAGGAACCAGCTAGCATTTGGAGAAAGCAAGCCCCACTATGCAGAATGGGTACCCATGATGGTGTAGTCCAGCCAGCTTCTAGAGCAGCCATGATACGTCTGTTAATACTCAGGCCAGGCTCTCCCTATTAAGGTGTCATGAGATTGAGCATTAGGGTTTCCTGTGGTGGTCTAGGCAAGGGTCATTCTGGAGCAGGCCCAGAAGGGCTGCTGGTTTGGACTTTATGGGATGGGAGGGACAAGAACTTTGAGGGAGGAGCTGAGGAAGGACAGACAGGAGGATGCCCTGTTGACTCCTCACCTCTCTTTGGCCTCAATTTCTCCACACACATAAGGAGTGGACACTTCAGCTCTGAGATCACTCCAGACAGAAATGGGGCTTCTGGACAGAGGATTGTGTCCTGTGCCTGTTTTTCCCATACAGGAGCCCCCATACCCAAGTGGGTGTTGGCCTCCTTCTCAGAGGAAACAGGCTAATGTATGCCACCCAGTGCCTTCAAAACTAGGGCACAAGCTAGAAGCGCTGGCAGGCGTGGGAGAACCCCTCCAGAGGAGGCAGAGGGAAACCGGAAGAGAGGAGGCACCTGAAAATCTTCCTCTCTTCCTATGGGAATGAGAGGTCAGAGGAAGAAGGAGTAACCTGTCAGAGGTAGAAGGAAGGTGGCTAGAAGCAGGGGTCACAAGTGGCCCATGGATGGGCTCCATAGGTGCTGGAGTCAGTCAAGGGTCAGTGGGAGCAGGAGACAGGTTATCTCAGGTAGAGCGCTATCTTCGGTCCATCTGGACAATTCTCTGACCCTCAGTAGAACCATCGCGAACTCAGCCCCTGCCTTTTGTCTGGCCTCCACACAGCAAGAAAGTCAAGTTTACAAGAACAAAACACAGGAAAGATGCTGA